TCAGTGGGTCTCCAATAACTACAGAGAAGATTAAACTTTATTTCCTTTCACTTTTTCTAAATCCATCATCAATTTTTTAAGGCAAATAGAGTGTGTGCTATATAAAATTATTGTATTGAGGAAAGAGTCAATGAAGAGATTACCACATAAATAATGATGGAGTTATCATTTCAAAAAAATTAAGTGAACAAACTCGAGTAACAAACAAAACAGAGATACATTCATAGATAAAAGCCGATGACAGCTAGTCAGGGTGGGGAATGAGCTAGAGCAAGGAGAGATGGGGCAAAAAGGAAAAAGGACTCATGAACATGGACAACAGCGTGATGAATACTAGGGGGAGGAGGGTAAAAGAGGACTAAGTGGTAATGGAAAAAAATACAATAAAGACTAAACTTAAAAAAGAAATCAAGCCTTGACACTAGGCAGTTCTGAATTTTAGTAAATGTGATGAAAGTATAAAAATCAGATATCTCTATGCAGTAAATTTTATGTTGTCTTAAAAAATTCCCAATCTAATCCATTGTGACAAATCAGAAGACAAGTTTGAAGATACACAGAACACATTAAATATAACAGTAGTCTGACTTTAAATAAAAATTTTTTGACTCAAAAGTAATCAACAATAACAATTTAAATGTGATTGATCATTAAAACCATCAAAGTCACAGTTCAAGACTAAAATTTTTATCACTCTGCAGTAAAACCAGTCTTAAGAAACTAAAGTTATGAAAAAAGACAATTAAAATATTTTGGTTCTCTTTGGGGATATATAAATGTAGGTTAATATATGCTAGTGGTCAAAAAGAGGCTAATGCCAGGTCTATACTTACTCAAAAAGGTGCATGAGAGGTTATAATGATTTAGAGAGCATGAAAATAATTTCTGGACATCTCCCAACCTCACCATTTTCTCAAATCTTGAGAAAGCTTTCAGATTCTTCCCATAAATGCCACTTTTACAAAGAAGCAGAGCCTTTGAAAGAAAAATATTTTTGGCTGTTAATGCTAGTGTATTCTTCCAGCCCAGTATTCAGAGTGCAAGACTGGACAGGCAATTACATGCAAATTTGTTGGGAGCTAGGAGGTTCATTTACTACATTCAACCCCATAGAGGAAGATCAATAGAAGTGCAAAACCTAATCCTAGATGAAAGCACCATGATCAGGTAATGGTTATAGAGCTAAGGCCCTCAGAAAAATGTTGGGAATCAAAGGGCATGCTAGAGAAAAGCATTATGCATAGTGCTTTTTTGAACCATATGGGAAAGACAACAGACGAAGTGAACCAAAGAGTTGGAACACAGTAAGGTAGACATGCAGTTCAACACAAATTGTTAGGGTGTTTGAAAAGATATGAATGAGGATTGAACCAATTAAAAATGGTTGCCTCGAAAACCTTTTGTTGGCTCTTTCAAGAATAGTGGTTTGCAAACTACTGCTCAAACTTAAACCATGCAAGACATGCTTGCATTTAACTCTTAAGAGGAGTTCTTTACTGCTAGTTTTCTTGTCTCTAATTTTTTTTTGGGGGGGAGCAGTTTCTGATATTTTCCCCTACCCAAGGCCACATAGTCTGTTGACATTTAGTAAAACTTAATAAGTATTTCTTGATGAAAATTTAGAAAAGTATATGTTGAAAGTTATTGCTGATTTCATGGAAGGAAGATAATGACAATGAACAGAATGGGAACTGGTACAAATTGTAGAGGCTTGTGGTTGTTTTGACTGACTGTTAACTAATTTGAATACCACCACTGGGTATGAACAGATATGCAGCCAGCATTATGAAGATAGAACAATAGTCCTTAAAGCATAATTGGTGTTTATCAATGATGACTATCAGAGTCTTCAGAATGTATTGAGGGAATACGTGACCTAGTGCATGATGAACTTTGGAAGAGATGCAACTGGTTTCCAAAGTTCCCACGCAACTGCTAAAATTGCATGCATGTTTTTATGTACATCTACCCTGTTGCCATTTACTGGAGAAGGAAGTCTTTAATGAGAATCTTATTTTTGAAACAGAAATAAAATCTCTAGAACTTTTAATAAATAAGAAAATTGGTCGGCAATTTCTGTGTTAGTCTATGTCCTCTAGGAAGCAGATGTCAAACAGGATTAAGCATGCAAGGATTTTATCAGGGGGAATGCCCATGAGAGAAAATGAGGCAAGAGCATGGGAAGATGGGAAGAGCCATCAGACCAATGTATATGTCTGACCCCAAGAGAAGAGAGAAAAGGAAGCATCCTAGATTGCCCTGTGGTCTAAGGAAAGTTGGGCAAGGCTTCTTGATGGGGGAGTTCTAGAACTAAAATTACCCACCAGTGGAGTTATGAGACTCATAAGAATGGGTCAGCTTTGGTCTCTCTGCTACACTCAACCTGGGAGAGGTTAGGAGGATAGATGGTCTCAGAACAAACATGGTTTCAGAGCCCAGCAGCTGGGGCTATGAGTCAGTTTTGCCTACTGTAGTTGGAAGTCTGCAAGGCACATGTTTGTGGCTGTCATTCTTTGGTCACATTGTTGGTCAAATCTGCTCTCCAACCTGCTAAAAATCTTGTTTACAAAATGAGACTAAATTACACAGTTTTGAGCTAGTCATTTAATCTCGGCATGTTTCATTGTCTTGATCTGAATAATAATCCCCATTTAAAACTTATTTAGAGCTTTAATCCATTAGTACACCCCATGTATACCACCAGTTTATATTTTCATAGATTAGATTGCTTTTATTTAAAACTAAAAACAAAATATTTTTCTCTTTTTCCACCTAATGGAATTAGTCATTCACAAGCTGAGAGTTCATTATTGGTAAGATTCTACACTAGGTGTGGTATAGAATATTATTAAATATCAGAAATACCAGATTCAGCTGTGTTTTAAATTGAATGAAGACCAGAGGAAAAGCATGACCAGTAGATAAAATTACATAAGGAAATTTGAGCAGCCACAACCTACAAACATAATGTATATGCCTCGACAGGATTATTTTGGATCACAATGTCATTTCAGAAAACAATCATCACATAATATACCACATAAACAAAACAAAACACAAAAATCACATGATTATATCAATAGATGTGGAAAAAGCATTTGATAAGGTACGGCACCCATTTATGATACAAACACTCAGCAAAGTAGGAACAGACGGAGCATTCCTCAACATAATAAAGGCCATATATGAGAGACCTACAGCCAACATCGTACTCAATGGGCAAAAACTTAGAGCTTTCCCACACTAAGATCAGAAACAAGAGAAGGATACCCACTTTGACCACTCCTATTCGCCATATTATTGGAAGTCCTAGCCACAGCACTCAGACAAGAAAAAGAAATAAAAGTCATCCAAATTGGAAAGGAGGAAGTAAAACTGTCATTGTTTGCAGATGACATGATAGTGTACATAGAAAATCCTATAGACTCCTCTAAAAAAAATATTTGACCTAATAAATTAATTTGGCAAAGCAATGGGATACAAAGTCAATACTCAGAAATCAAAGCCATTTTTGCACACCAAGAATGAAACATCAGAAACACAAATCAGGGAAAAAATCTTATTTGATATAGCAACAAAAAAATAAAGTACCTAGGAATAAACCTAACCAAAGAGGTAAAAGACCTGTACTCAGAAAACTACACAACACTGAAGAAAGAAATTAAGGAAGACGCAAACATGGAAACATGTACCATGCTCATGGATTGGAAGAATTAACATCATCAAAATGGCAATACTACCCAAAGCAATTTACAGATTCAATGCAATTCCTATTAAAGTACCAATGATATATTTCACAGATATAAAGTAAACATTTCAGAAATTTATATGGAATCATAAACAACCTCGAATAGCTGCAGCAATTTTGAGAAAGAAGAAGAAAACAGAAGGGATCACAATACCTGATATCAAACTGTATTATAAGGCCACTATAACTCAAATAAAAAAGGCACATAGACCAATGGAACAGAGCAGAGAGCCCAGAAATAAATCCAAGTCTCTATGGTCAATTAATGTTTGACAAAAGGAGAACATGCATAAAATGGAGTAAAAATAGCCTCCTCAACAAGTGGTGTTGGGAGATTTGGACAGCTACATGCAAAAAACATGAAACTCGATAACCAACTTACACCATACACAAAAATAAATTCAAAGTGGATAAAAGAGTTAAATATAAGTTGTGACACCATAAAAGTCCTAGAGAAAAACATCAGCAGGAAAATTTCAGACATTCCACACAGCAACATCTTCACGAATACATCTTTTAAGGCAAGGGACATAAAGGAAAAAATAAACAAATGGGACCTCATCAAATTAAAAAGCTTCTGCATGGCTAAAGAAAACAGCATTAAAATGAAAAGAGAACCAACTATATGGGAAAACATATTTGCCAATGATATCTCAGACAAGGGTTTAATCTCCAAAGTACATAAAGAATTCACACGACTCCACTCACACGAAGACAAACAACCCAATTTAAAAATGGGCAAAAGACTTGAACAGACACCTCCAGACACTTCTCCAAGTAGGACATACAGAAGGCTCAGAGACATAGGAAAAGATGCTCAGCATCGCTAGCCATCAGAGAACTGCAAATTAAAACCACAATGAGATACCACCTCACACCAGTCAAAATGGCCATCACCAACAAATCAACAAGCAAGTATTGGAAAGGATGCAGAGAAAAGGGAACCCTAGTGTACTGTTGGTGGGAATGCAGACTGGTACAGCCGCTGTGGAAAACACTATGGAATTTTCTCAGAAAACTAAAAATGGAACTGCCTTTTGACCCAGCAATTCTACTGCTAGGACTACACCCTAAGAGCCCTGAAACATCAATTCAAAAGAACCTATACACCCCAATGTTCATAGCAGCACAATTTACAATAGTCAAGTGCTAGAAGCAACCTAAGTGCCCATCAATAAATGAGTGGATCAAAACACGGTGGTACATTTACACAATGAAATTCTATGCAGCAGAAAAAAAAGGGAGCTCTTACCCTTTGTGGTGGCATTGATGGAACTGGAAAGCATTATGCTAAGCGAAATAAGCCAGGTGGTGAGGGACAATTACCATATGATCTCACCTTTAACTGAAACATAATCAACAAAAGAAAAAAGCAAACAAAATATAACCAGAGACATTGAAATTAAGAACAATCTAACAATAGCCAGAGGGGAAGGGGAAGGGGGAGGGGACTGGGAGGAGAAAGGTTTTCAGGAACTACTATAAAGGACACATGGACAAAACCAAAGGGGAGGGTGGAAGCAAGGGAGGGAGGTGGGTTTGACTGGGGTCGGGGGGAGTGGTGGGGAGAAAATGCAGACAACTATAATTCAACAATAATAAAGTAATTTATGAATAAAGAAAAAAATATTTTAAAAAGAAAACTATTATCATATTACATTGACAATAATGCATATACTAAAGCAAAAAAAATTCTACCTAGAAAACTTTGGATTAGTATCTTTGAACTAATTTTGATTTTAGAGATTATACTAGTATATTTAATTTATACTACTCAGTGGAACCTATCAAAGACAATTATTTCTCTGAGAATATTATCTGAAGCTCTTGCTTAATTTTACACATTGAAACTTAAAAAGGAGAATAAAGGAATCCAAGAGCAGCATAAATATGATTAAAAAGCAAATAACAAACTAGAAAATTACAATATACACTGCAAATCCTTAATTTACAAGAAGCTTTCACAATCAATAATTAAATGAATGTAACCATTGAAAATGGGCAAAAAATTATGAGTAGAAAATATACAGACAAAATACACATATCATATATAAAAATATAAACATCACTTATAGTGAATTAAATGCACATTAAATAAACTTCCATTTTTCTGTAATATAGTTAATAATGCATAAAAAGGATAAAATTGACCATTGGCAAGGGCGTTGGGAAGCAGGTCTCTCATGTAAAGAATTTACAATTTCTCTCAAAGCCAATATAATATAATATACTAAATACCTTTATAAACATGTTAGGGTGTTTACATAGCAATAACAATGTTCAGCAAATGCATTCATAACTATAAATACATATAAAAGGCTTCACATAAAGGCTTACTTAAGGATATTCATTAAATAAAATTTTATACAGCCATTAAAGCATGTTTAGAAAAATCATTAACATATGAAAGTGTTCATGATAAGTTTCTAAGTGCAAATAGATTTCATTTTTGTTATGTATTTGTGTGAGAGTGTACATGTGTGTACTCAGACATACATACACACTACTTACTGCTTTTGCAGGGCAGCTCCAAGATAAGGCCAACTTGATGGCAGCAGACTTCTCTTGGTTTGGATTTATAATTCTACTGTAAAATCAATAGTTTCATGTTTATTATTTGAAAAATATGGATTGCCAGACCACAGACATGTGACAATGGACTAACACTTATTTCACCGAAGTTAAACAACATGTAGGCAGGATTAGTACTGAAATGCTTTAGTCATGATCTAACCTCCAGCAAATGGTAACCTAACAATATAAAACAGACTGTGGGCAATAACCTAAAATTAAGTGTTTAAAAAGAGGGATCAATAAGTCCTGGCAAAAGAGAGTGAGGGCCAGCCCCAGTCCTGCATCAAAAGATTCCAGTCTAACCTAGTTCTGCTACCGTCTGAATTTGGGCCCAGGACAAATTTCTCTGCCTCTCTAGGCGTTAGTTGGCTCACTGATTAGTTAAAGATACTACTTGCCTTGGATTTCAAGAAGATTAGACATGATGATTGTAAAATTCCCACTCTGCATATATCTGCTGTAGGGTTCTCTCCCTAAAGCAGTGGTGATTTTTGCCATCACTGATGATCTCCACAAAACCAGAAATTCCTACTTAATTCCTACTGGAGCCACAATTTAAGAATGACACAATATTTTCTAGCCACACCTAAATGACAAATTCACAAGACAAATGTTTACTATGCCCCGAGAAAACCAACGCTTAGAGAAAAACTTCAAAATTCATTTGTGGACCTATACAATTAATTTAGTTTTATTTAGGATCCATTACCCTGTGACCCTCATCTAGACCAGTTTTTCTTCTCATTGTTTTCAGAAGAAAAACTCTCTAATGGCCCATCATTGTCTATATAATAATAATAATAATAATAATAATAGTAACTACTATGATTTTTAAGCAACTAGTATATGTAAGGCCCTCAGATCCTGTAAGTCCAAAATCTTATCTATAACACCCTGGCAAAGTATGTACAGTTCCCATTAAAAAGATAAGAAAATGGTGTCTAAGGAATTAAAAATCCTAACACTAATGACAATAGTGAAATAGTCTTGAAAATATACTGATTGACCAATCCTCTTGATGCACAGAGAAAAACATTTTGCAGGAAAACCTGGATATAAATGACTCAGTTGGAAAATAACACAGAAGTGTCAAACTCAGAATTGAAAAATGTTTTGGTGATACCTTATTTTACTTCTATTTTATATATTTTACTTCTATTTTCCTTTTCATGAAAGTATAAGAGTAATGTGTGATTAAAACATCTATGTCTGGAGTCCCAGCCAAGATGGAGGTATAGATAGAAACCCTTTGCTTCCTTGCACAACTGAAAGAAGGACAACAACCAATTAAAAATCAATAAACAACCAAAAGCACCAGAAAATCAAACTGCATGGAATTCTGACAACCAAGGAATTAAAGAAAAAATCAACTAAACAACCACACTGGTAAGGCGCGGGCCAACTCAGAAAAACCGCAGGGACATGGCAGCCTTGTGACTGGGGCTGGCTGCTGAGCTCTGAGAGCTGCACCATAGGGGCTGACTTAAGGGAACTCAGAGCTGACTATGGGATGTGGCTGGGGTCGCCACAGGGCAAGATACACCCAGTCTGACACTAGAATCCAGTGCTAAGGACAAGCAGGGGAAATGCATTGTTCCCTCTCTGGCCCCTCCCCCAGAGGCAGTGCTGAAGCAAAAGAGTTGCCCTGCCTGGGTGAATACCTAAAGCCCTGCCCCCTTACAACCTATCAGTTGTGCCAAGACAAAGAAATATGGCCCAAATGAAAGAACAGACTATAACACCAGAACTAAGCAATGAGGAGACCACCAACCTAGCTGATAGAGAATTTAAAGCCCTGGTAATCAAAATGCTCGCAGATATGATTGAGCTTGGTCAAAAAATGAAAAAACAAATGAAGGATACCCAAAACGAAATAAAGCAGAATGTTCGGGGAACCAACAATGACAGGAAGGAAACCAGGACTCAAAGCAATGATTTGGAACAAAAGGAAAAAAATAAACATCCATCCAGAAGAAAATGAAGAAACAAAAATTCAAAAAAATGAAGGGATTCTTACAAGCCTCTGGGACAACCTGAAACATTCCAATATCAGAATTATAGGGGCGCCAGAAGGAGAAGAACAACAGCAAGAAATGGAAAACTTATTTGAACAAATAATGAAGGAAAACCTCTCCAATCTGGCAAAGGAAATAGACGTCTAGGAAGTCCAGGAAGCCCAGAGAGTCCCAAAGAAGTTGGACCCAAAGAGGAATACACCAAGACACATCATCATTAGGTAAGCCAAGATTAAAGTTAAGGAGAGAATCTTAAAAGCAGCCAGAGAAAAGGAGACAGTTACCTACAAAGGTATTCCCATTAGGCTATCAGCAGATTTCTCAAAAGAAACCTTGCAGGCAAGAAGGGGCTGGAAAGACATATTTGAAGTCATGAAAGGCAAGGACCTATATCCAAGATGACTCTATCCAGCAAAGCTACCCTTTATAATGGAAGGGCAGATAAAATGCTTCCCAGGTAAGGTCAAGTTAAAGGAGTTCATCATCACCAAGCCCTTATTATATGAAATGTTAAAGGGATTTATCTAAGAAAGGAAGACAAAAAATAGGAACAGTAAAATGGCAACAAACTCACAACTATCAACAAATGAACCTAAAAGAAAAGAAAAACAATGAAAACAAAGACTAAGCAAACAACCAAAACAGGAACAGAATCAGAGGAATGGATATCACACGGAGGGATTTCAGTGGGGAGGGGAGGAAGGAAAAAGGGGGGGAAAGGTACAGGGAAGAAGAAGCATAATTGGTAGGCATAAAATAGACTGGGAGAGAAAAAATGGTATAGGAAACAAAGAACTCTAAGAACTTATATGTACAACCCATGGACATGAACTGGGGGGAGGAGAATGATGGACGGTCAAGGGGCAGGATGGAGGGGGGGATAAAGGGAGAAAAATTGGAAAAATTGTAATAGCATAATCAATAAAAATACTTAAAAATAAAGCATTTAAAATATAAAAATATCTGTGTCTGAATAAGTCTAAACAGTTCTTTGAACTATATGAAATAAAAATTTTTAAATAATATGTACACATTGTATCAGGATTTAATTAACAGCATTTTATTTTTTTCTGTCTTGGTCCTTACAGAAAAAATAATGGTGTACTTACAGTGAATGGTGCTTTAGAGTCAATGAAAAAAAGTACCGACTGAAGAATACCTTTAAATGCTTTGAAACTCCTTAATCCATATCAAAAGAGGTGTAAAATTTATTAATAACAGTGGCCCATCAGCTAGAAAACAGACTACTGCAGAAATTATATAGTATAATTACCCATCACTGCAACAGCAGCAGACTGTTCCTTTAGCCCCAAGACGGGTAAGCCTATAATGAATTTACTCCAAAGTATCCAAGGTGAGTGAGCAATTCTCTTGTAGCAAACTATTTGCTACTATGAGGTAAATGAACTCTTCTCAACACCATTTAATAAATCGCTTCTTACAGAGCACTAAATTGTTCCCTGATGTTCTGAGAAGTCAATTTGCCACACAGGAGAATTTTTCTCCTAGAGGGTATTTTATTCCTCTCACCTCACATCGATCATGTAGGGGCAAAGGAAGTCATCTAGATTACGGTGACACTTTAAAGTTTTGCCACTTGAGGGAAAAGCACAATGAGGTTAATAACAAATATGAATTCAATGCTATTAGGGAGCTTGCTATAATTTCTTTCAGGCAATAATATCAGGGTTTGGTTTTGCTTTTTAAGGAAAAAATATTTGTTAGGTTTAGGGTTGGTGGCTTTTTTTTACTCTAGTTTTCTATAGGTTCTCTGTTTTAATGTTTGGTTACTTCTCCTTCTGTTGCTAAGCAGATGGGACATGTTGCTATGTGACATTTTACACAACCACTTTTATGCAGCTTCAACGGTAATGACCAGAGGTCATGAAAACATAATCACACACATTGAAAACTGGAGCATTTGCCTTTTTGTTCCTGGAAAACCACAGAGAATGTACCAAAAATGTTTTTTTAGAACATAATAATAATAGTAACATATTTATTCAATAAGTTTACTTCTATTTTACCTCATTGAAACTCACAAAAACCCAGTGAAATATTAAGGGAAAGTGTCAGCTCCACTGTCATCATCATCATCATTATCATATTTCAGGTGAGAAAAATGAGGTTATGAAAGGTCAGGTCAGGTGGTAAATGCATGGCAGTGATGGGAAATGAGGTCTATTCATTTGACTTCCTACTCAGAAAATAACAAAATGCTCTCTGAAGCATATGAAAGCTAGAGGTTTCACACTTGTAATAAAAGCTCATTTAAAAGTATAATTTTACTTCCCATAGGTCTATATGATAACCAGTATATTTTTATAAAACTATAACAAATATTATGTAAAAGTAAAATATACATATTAAACATAATAATTAAAATAATAATAATATAAAGAGCTATCAGTTGTCTGATACTAAGTTCTACTAGCATCCAAATAAGTGCTGTCCCAACACCAACCACAGAATCCTCACAACAGCCTAAGCATTTTGAAGAATCAAAGGCTCAGACAGTAAATAACATGCCAAGGTCAATCATTTAGTCCATAGTGGAGCAGAATTAAAACTCGTATGTCAGACTTTCAACCCTGCACCTCTAACCATTACACTTACTGTCCCATCAGCTACCTTTTCAGATTTTTCAGAAGATTCTTTTTTCCACTGTATTACAGGGTGATTTTTGTAACTCGAGTTTTAGTTAATGTTTTTCATTCTCAAGGAACACAGTTCATAAAGTAATAAAAGGTTTGCATTTGGAAGGCATGGCAAATTAGCTGGGTGATTGAAAACTGGCAGGCAACTATCGCACAATGGCAATAATGTGAGTATATGTGTGTGTGATTACTTGCTCCATTATACGTAGAATAAAGAAAAGCCAGTGGCCATGTACATAAAGCACCACGATGAGCACTGAAACAGGGATTAGAAACTTGGTCTTTAGTTCATTTTTTTAAAAATTGTTTTTTTAAATATTGACTATATGCAAAAG